TATGGGGGTGTTGGGGGGGCTGGGTCCCCCACGGAGGGGCTGCTGCCCTGGGGCTGCGGTCCCAGAGTGCCCGCAGGGCAGCCGCGCTGCCCCCGGTGGTGTCGGGGAAGGGTGGAGAAGGTGGAGGAGCGACATGGAGGGGGTTGACCCTCAGCGCTTCCAGAAGCACTTCTGGCACCGATATCCCCAAGGCCTTCTCGTGGTTGATACGTGTAAACAGACCTCCCAAGCGGGAAGGCTTTACAAACCCTGTTGCTCTCAGCCGTCCCGCGTTTATCAGTTCGTCTTCTGTAATTTTACCGAGTTTTAATTAGCTGTGATGTTTGTAACTAGCCTCTTACAAACGTTCAAGTGAGAGCAGCACTTTAAAATGGGAGCTAAGAACGGTTAGCTTAGAGTCGGAAGCTTCCCAAGGTACAGGTTGTGCAAGTATCTGTCAGTCTGATTTGAGTTTTAAAATGCACTGCTTTTCTTATCCCAGCTCGTTTTGATACCTTGTGCATTTGAAGAATAAATAACTGAATTAGAAGTTAGCACATCTCTCAAATGTTACTGTGTGAATCAAAGCAGGTAGGCTCGCATAGCAGCAGCAGGATATTTATGTAGTATGAGTGTTAATGAGAAGGTTGGTGCCTTTGCACGTCATTATTAATCCTACTTTTAAAGGGATCCCCCTACAATAGAACCTGTGCACTCTTAGAGACTTTGTAAGGTCTTTATTATTGGAATATTTTGGTAAATCAACTTTCATTGTCATTTTACTTATTTTTTAAAATTTGATTATGTTAATATTTTGACTAACCTATGTGAAATAATTTCATGTCAGATTCGCCCTTAAGTAAAACATAAGTTACCATATCTACCTATGGAGTAATGCGTGCCATCTCCTTGAAATGTGAAGCTGTGCAAAATGATGCTCATACGTATAGGAGAGCTTTATGTATTATAGAGTGCTCAATATTACTTCATAAAAGTGAAAGTAATATAGCTACTCAGTTGTGCAGGTTTAGGAAATTGAGTTTTTGCAGTCATGTCAGTAAAACTTTCATGCTGTATTGTTGTTTTATCTGCAGTGAGTTAGCAATTTTTAAAATATAATGGGAATATATAATACTATTAACATTTATGTTCTTAATTCTCCAAAACACTTGCAAAACCTTATATGCATTAATTTAAAATACTACTCATTGTACATACGTTTGCAAGTGTGTGCATGCTCACATTGCAGGACTGGAGCTTTCTCTACCTTTGCAAGAAACTGCAAGCTTTCCGTCAAAGGAAGATAGTTACTAAATATTTTTGTGCAGTTCTGATTCATGCATGAAATAGATATTTATAAGGCTCTCCATTTATCTGCCTCAGTACTGCTTACAGTATTTTCTATTTAAATGGGGTTTTTTGAGCAACAGTTTTATCTTGTTTAATTTTTGTGTGTGTTTCACTTTTATAGGAGATTTACGTGACTCTGCATTACCTTTGTTGAACTCACCTAGGTAAAGTAGTATTGGCCAGTTCCTATATATGAATAATCACATTGTACAAAAAGTGCGAACAAAACATAGTATAACTTTGTAAAATAATTTAAAGTTTTTTCTTTCAATGTTTTCCGGCATAAGATTGTTGCCTTTCTTTCCTAACTTCCTTATAGGTTTTAAAAAAAAGTTCTCTTAATAAAAGTGTTGTTCTGAGGCATCAGATTCCTCTTGGAATGCTGCCATGCAGTAAATTTTCATTTGTCCGCTATCTCTGCAGCTGGACTCTAGCATTTCTCTGAAGAGATATTCCACAAGGAACTTCAATTCTGTGAGGAAGTCTTAAGCTAAAGCAAAAAACAAAAAGCCCTCCTCCAAATACAAAGAGTTTCTGCCACAACTCAGAATCATATTCTCTAATGAAAAAATATTTGGCGAGTTAGTGTGGCATCTTAAGTCCAGTATAACATCTTCCCTTTCTCAGCTGCTTCCTGTTCTTTTTTAGCCCTTTCCTCTGCCACTCTCCAACCCCACATTTCAGTCATTAAGTCCTTCCCCCACTTTTAAAACTATTCTGTTCCTTTCTTGTTTACCAAAAGTAAAAATCAATAACAGTTATAACACCCTTGTGTTATAACTGCCTTCTGGGAAAGAATGAAGTAAAGTAAATCCAAGTTTGCTGCCACTTCATGTAAGAATTTAATTCTTTAATATTATATTGGTATATGGTATTTATGCAAGAACTCCTCAAAGCTTTACTATAATAGTCATGCACAGTTATTTATTCAAGCTAAATTTACTGGTGCATCCACTGATATATGTGATGAAATAGGTTAGGGAGCTTTTAGATGTAGGCATTGCTATACTTTATTGGACTGGAGGATCAAGAATTGATTGTTCTTTCCCTTCTTGCGAGCAGTGAAGAAAAAAGCTAGTAACTTTCTTGCTGGAATGTAGCATCATCTGCTCCATTTGTAAAGTCTTTTATAACTTCCAGTAGTAAGAAGGATGCTTGAAGCCCATAGTCTTAGAAACTACCGAAACCTTTATTATAACACTGGTTTTATATGTCTCAAGTTCACTGTGAAACGTGTTCTTTTAGAGCTGTTACATGCAACAGCAATAAATTCCACTTACTTCATGTTCTTTGTTTTTAAATCTGCCACATTGTTACCTTTAATAAATCTTTGACTTGTAATGAATTGATGTGTACAGCTAGAAGTAGTATGTTTTCAGGAGAGACTTTTGTATGATTTCACATGCTTAATCTGATTTTTGTGATTTAATTTTATCAAACAGCTGATAGATCTATTTCAAAGTAATCTAATGCATAAATATTCATTTAGTATTGAAGGTGATGCTATCAAGGTTTATGTAAGGGTACGTCCCCCTTCAGAGGGAACTGTGTTAACCGATGGAGATCAAGGCTTGTGTTTATCTGTTCTTTCATCAAATACCATCCGTCTGCATTCGAAGCCTGAGCCAAAGATCTTCACTTTTGATTATGTTGCAAATATGGAAACAACACAGGTAATAACTTCCAGAAATTCACAATGATATTGCAGTTTTTCCCCAAATTCTGGCAATTGCTACACTAAACCTTTCTAAAGATGTGATGCCTTAGGTCTTTTTTTTTTTGCAGTGGTCAGACTGGTAATATGTAGCTATTCTTCAGAAATGTTGCACTAAATTCTGCTAATAGTTTTAATGTATTTTTTTAACTCTTAATTTCTTTAATTAACATTTACATTAAAATTGACGTTTGTATTTGTTACAGTAACACTATAGATAGAAAATAATCCCCCGTGTTGAGACAAGCATAAAAATAGCAGGCAGGCAATAGCTGATATTAAAGATGTGATTTGTATATTAGGAACTTAGGAGTTTTTATTCTATTAGTTATATTTCCTTCTTATACATTTGCCTTTTAGACAGATGCATTGTTCACCTGGGACAGGTAATACTGGGAGGAAAATCCTTCTGTTTCATTTTTATAATACTGTGTTTGAAATTCTGAACATAATTTTAATTCCTCTAAGACTTAAATTCCATTTAACTTCTGTTTAAAAAACTAAACCCCCCAAAAAACCCCACCCACTGTAGGCTGTTATTTGTAGCTAGGCTGTTCTTGCAGGCCTAAGAGAAATAGGTGAAAATAGATGAGGCTAACAGTTGTGCAGATTTGTTGAATATGACATTGTGCAGTGGCAAATGTTGAAAGTTAACCAGATTTGATGAGTGTTATAGGCTCAATGTTGACTTACTAATGGTATAAACCACATAACATAATAAAAAACACTGGACCAAAATTAATATAATATATATTTGAAAGCTGTTACTATGATGCTGAGTATTATTATTTTTCTTTGAGTTATCAACAAGGAATAAAATTTTTTCAGAGTGATTTATGTCACAAAGACTCAGGATGTATTGTTTCGCTGTGAGGACTCCAGGGGTCATGATACATGTCTGACTTTAAGGAATGTGTCTATTTTATACATTATAAAGTTACAGCATAGAAAACACTGATAGAAGAGATACTTAAATGACTGGTGCCAAGTGTCTTCTCTTTCCCTTGTCCCCAGGAGTCAGTGTTCTCAAGTGTGGCCAAAACTATTGTTGAATCTTGTATGAATGGCTACAATGGAACCATCTTTGCATAGTAAGTCGTTTAATGGTATTTCATAGCAATTGCAACATTTGAGGAGACTGTGTTAATGAGTAGTTGTGGTTTTAAGGGCCAGAGCCTGCTTAATGTCACAGTAAACTTTGAAAGTGCTTCCTTAGTGGAGCACAACATAGGGAATGTTCCTGCAATATTGAAGAGTACTTCTTACTCCTCTTCCGGAGCACTCTATTTGTCGGTGTTATGCTTCTAATACTTAAGGCCAATAATGTAGATTGTAAACCCATTTCAATTTTACTATTGTTTGTCTAACAACTAGAAGTTTTATTGTACTGTAAAGAGAAAGCTAGTTGTTTTCTGTATGTCCATAGTAAAATGGAATGAAAATGGCTTTAACTTGGTATTTGGCCAGCTCAACTCTTTAGTGAGTCTTAGCTGCCTGTGGGAAAACTCATGAATGATAATTTTAACTTTCAAAACGTTTTCAAGGTAGAAATATATGCATGACTAGTAGCATGAATATCATTATATTAACTATCAATATTTTTTCATTTTGAAAACTGAGTAAGCACTTTGGTCAAAAATGCTAACTTGAAGGACTGATCTAATCAAAACCTTACTGAGTTTTTTAGCCTAGCACAGCATTTGCAAAACTGTGAAGTAAAGTCTACTTTGTGACAATATACAAATGTGGAAAAATGAAGTTAAATTGCCCTGAAGTTTCTCTAGCATGATTAATAACTATGGTTAAAAAAAAGGATATATTCAACTTAAAAGTATTTTTCTCGTTTTGGGTTTATGTGCACTACTGAGTGACACAAAACCCAAAAGATTGACCCCAAAATTAGTTTTATATATATATTTGAAAGCCTTCATTTTAATGCTAAGTTCCATTATTTCCCTTTCCAACAGAAATAAGGAAGAAAATGGTAGGTGCTGGGGGAGAGAAAAGGTGATTTATCTAACAGAATTTCATGGTCAAATTTGCTGCTCTATTTTTATACCTTTTTAGCTGACTGATTTCTCAACTTGCCTCCGTCTCTTTTTTTATCTTCAGTTTAGAATAATTTTTTTTCATTTTAAGCTGTGAGTTCTCCTTAAAAGATGCAGATTAATGAAAAATTCAGAGCCAGAATAAAGCTTTATCTGACTTTTTTTTTTTTTTTGTTTGTGGCCAGACTGGGTCAGGAAAAACCTTTACTATGATGGGTAAGTGGATGAGAGAGCTTAATCTTTCAGTGGTTTCTTAATGGTTTTTTTGTCTTGAGTTGAAACGTTGTCTTGCTTAAACACCAGGGATGATTTAGATTTTTGTCTTCCTGCAGATAATTTAAGGTTTAAGAAATGTTGTAGTGCTCAGTGCAGTTGTTTTTGCTTTATATCAAAAGAGTGAAGTGTAGGTACTCTCCTCTATCTTTTTGAAGATATAGATGATTTTTCCTGTTTTTAACAGTAGAGAAGCTTTTCAATTAAATCAAACACTTTTAGTACATTTTCTCAAAAATGAGTATTCTGCTGGTTTTCTTGTTTGGCTGATATCCCTTGCATGTGTATAAAAATATTCTAGTATGCAAGGGTCTTCCATATTAAAATATAGTGAGGTTTTCAAAATAACTGCTTCCTACCCAACTAGGAATTTAAGGCCTCTCTGTATATGAAGGGATCCCCTTGTAATCTTATTCTTCACACCGTGGTGATTTTAAATGCATTAATATTGTACTTGACATTAGAAAGTTACTGAAATAGCCAAAACCAGTTTGGCCAACGTGTTTTCAAGGACTACATAGAAATTAACTAAACATGGGGACAAATCTACCCCATCTTTCTGGTTTTTCAAATCGGGGTTAAGGTAGCTGTATTGATGTACCTGCACATCTGTACATGTTTTCTGTGGAAGTCCAAGTACTTTATGCTATTTTAGACTTAGGTAACCTATGGATAGGTAAAATAAACTTTCACAAGCATCATTTAGACTACGTATAAATCTGATTATGGAATATTATCTTAGATCTTGAAAGTTGATTTTATTGCATGTCTTCTGTGGTTTTGCCATAAACTGACTAAAAGCTGGTTGCTGAAGTCTTCTATAATGACATCTTGAAAAAATCAACCATTATTCTTGAGTAGTACTAATTAATTCTTTTTTAAATTAAAAATTTCTTTAGGACCATCTGATTCTGATAATTTCACTCACAGTCTGAGAGGTGTAATTCCACGAAGCTTTGAATATTTATTTTTTCTAATTGAACGTGAAAAAGAAAAGGTACATTTATTTTATACTTATTGCAATGAAAGTAATGTCTCACATTAAAGATTAGCTATGGCTGTTTGGTAAGCCTGGTGTGTAGCAGTTAAGTTTCCAGGATTATTGCTGTCTTGCATCAAATTTAATAATGAGAAACACTTGTGTCTAGTACTCTACCAAATTATAGCACACTTTCTTCAGACAGAAGCGTGCTTATATTTTGAGTCTAAAAATGGGTGTCGGTTGTCATCTGGGCATCAGAAATGTATAGTATGCAGAATATATGCAAACTAGTGGCTTTAGATATGTATAAAAAGATACTCACTGCCATACAATGCCAGACTTAATAAAACCAGTCTGTTTATAGTGTAAATTACTGTGTTTTTCAGGCTGGCAGTGGAAAGAGTTTTCTCTGCAAATGCTCATTTATTGAAATCTACAATGAACAGATATTTGACTTGCTAGATTCTGCTTCAGCTGGACTTTTTCTCAGAGAACACATCAAGAAGGGAGTCTTTGTTGATGGTGCTGTTGAACAGGTGTTGTCATCTGCTGCTGAAGCATACCAGGTATTTTTTGTCACTTTTTAATGCTTGGGCTATTTATCTTCATGCTTATTTGGTAAATATTCCTTTGATTAAAGCACATATTTTTTGCGCAGTGTCTGTGACACCCTCTTCCCCCATCTCCATCCTCCAAAAAACAGTGTAAAAAGCTGTTTCTAGGCAATGCTTCCTGACTATCCCACACATGTAAGAAATCATATAGTTCTGGAGTTTGGAATATATGAATTGCAATTACAGTAATCTTTTCCCTAATGCTTGCCCTACACATCTCTGAAATAGCAACAGAAGACTGTATCTCCTGCTAATTAGGCAGCATGTGTGTTCCAGAAATTGTCAGGTTTATTTCTCCATGAATGAGACGCATGCACATAGTACTACTGTGACTTTAAGTACTTTTTCCTTGTGTACGCTAACATACACCAGTATTGGATATGTTATGCTTTCAAACAGCAACGGCACTCTTGGAGAAAAGTGGTGAATATTATAATTAGTGTTTTTATTAAGCTGGACTGTAGCTATATTTTTTTCACTTTTAAAATACTTATATTGGAAAAAAGTCCTTGTCCTTGAGATTTTTGAAAGCTGTTACACTGAAATATGCTTACTACTGTTTGTCACCTGTATGTAAATACTGGATACAGTCTGAGATACTTGATATTATTTGATGTCTTTTCACCCTTAGGTATTAACTATGGGCTGGAGAAACCGTCGTGTAGCATCAACCTCAATGAACCGGGAATCCTCAAGATCACATGCAGTTTTCACTATCACAGTGGAATCCATGGAGAAAAACAATGAGGTTGTTAACATTCGGTCTTCCCTGCTCAACCTCGTAGACTTGGCAGGATCTGAGAGACAGAAAGACACCCATACAGAAGGACTGAGGTTGAAGGTTAGTTCTGTTGTATCTGTGGCATCTTTCTCCTTTCAGATGTACTGCCCTGTTCCATCCACCAAATCTGTTCACCTTTGTGTGTTTTTTTGTTTGTTTGTTTTTTAAGGAAGCAGGTAACATAAATAGATCACTAAGTTGCCTGGGCCAAGTAATCACAGCACTTGTTGATGTGGGTAATGGAAAACAGAGACACATTTGTTACCGGGATTCCAAGCTCACTTTTCTGTTACGGGTAATATATATCCTCTGGATTTTATATGCTACCTGGGGTGTAGAAAAAAATATTTGTTTGGGGTGTGGTTTTTTTTACTCTAAAAAGCTGAACTCAGGTACATTAATAATTTGTTTCAATTCTCTTCAGGTGGAAGAAAGCTTGAAAAATATCTTTTTACCTAAACAGACTTATAGTTGATTTATTGCTGTTAACTGAAGACAAGTAATTTATTTATGCTCATAATCTCCTTTTACATATTTGCAAGTTTTAAAGAAGCATATGTTTTCATCCCTATAATATGGGAAATACTGTGTATCACAATGTAATATTTAGAGATGTGTTGAAACATTTGACATGATTTCCTGAATTAGCCTATGTGTGCTAAGTGTTGGTATGATGTTAAGAATTAGATAAATTTACAGTTTCCTACCTGAGAGCTTATGAGCTCTTTTCAAGATGAACAGAAAACAAAGATGGAAGCAGTCAAAGATTTGTTGTATGCCAGCACTCGCCAAAATTCTGTGAACAGTAATGAATAATATCTGTAATATATTTTTGTATTATAATATAGTACTTCTACATAATACAGTATTTGTGTTACAACACGGTATTGTTGTGATCACAGCAAAATTTCCCAATCATTCCATCTCTGTTCTATGTACGTCTTAGAATCATGAACCTCTCAAGAACTATGTTCTTCCAAGGCAACCCAAAATACATAGAAATTGGAAGAGAATTGCAACTGTATGAGCTGTTACTTTCTTAAGTGGTTATTTTTTTTTTAGGTGGTTGTACTGCAAAGAAGTCCACAAACATGACCTTCTCTACTAGACAGAGAGCATGCCATTGAGGCTTGTGGGCTATGTTGTAGAACTAGGCTTTTAGAGTCTTAGGTAAAACTGCTGCCTTCTCCAGAAATTTGAGAGTTACTTCTCTAAAAGCACGGAGGTATTTGAAGACATGCATGTAAAAGGGAAGAGGTTCCTCTTATATCCTTGGTCAAGAACCTGTTGGTTTGTGATTTTGTTTGGCAATTGCCACCAGAAGATAGGTTGGAACAATCAACAGGCTAGATGATCAAAATAGTGCAAATACCAATCTGCTAATGACCAGGATTAAAGTGAAATATCTACTTTATTCCCTGAATTTTTTTTATGTTTTTTTTCTCTGCTGTTCAGGTGTAACAAATATCTCAAATTGTTGATTAGTAATATAGAATCAGGGTTTGGAAAACCCAAATAAAGTCTTTATTTACAGTCACATCCTTTATACCCACATTTGAAATTAAATTTCAGAAACTTACATAGCATGGAGACTTGTTAAATAAAATCCCTTCTGCAGTTTGTTCAAAGTGATAGACAGTAGTGATACACAGTAGCTCTTACGGGATGACTTCCTGCTGTAGCCAAAAACATGCAAGTAAAGCTAACTTCTATGTTTTTAAATAGGATTCCCTTGGTGGTAATGCAAAAACATGTATAATTGCAAATGTTCATCCAGGATCCAGGTGTTTTGGTGAAACATTGTCCACCCTTAATTTTGCTCAGCGAGCAAAGTTGATTAAAAACAAGGTAAGAGAGTTACTCAGTATCTTGTTGCAACAAACAATTTCTTGTCACTTAAACTTCACATCTGCAAACAGGAGAGCTTCATTGAAATACTCTTGTGCTTTCACTAATTTAAATGAATATAACTTATTTTTAAATCCTAAATTTGCTTTCCTAAATGTTTATGACATGATTTTTGAAAAGGCCGTGTTTGCTTTTGATTATGAATAGAGTACAACAGCTGGGGACTAGGTAATGGCTGATAATAGTGTATGTTTATTGCTTGTTCTCTGAGCACTTCATTGGAAAAAGGAAGTAGTATATCTGTACTAAAAATTAAAATTGTCATTAAAAAAATTAGATTCAATAGTATTTCAGTGCATCTAATTTTTATATATGTTAATTCCCAAAACGTAATTTCTCATGAGTGGGTTTTGAAAGTATGTTGGCATCTGGCTGGAAACTACTGCCTTTGACGTATACTGCTTAGCTTTGGTCAAAAAGCTCCAGAGAAAATTCTGCAGAAAACATTAATTTTTTTTAACCAATATTTTTAGCTAAAGTGCAACTTACTGGTTTCTCAGTAAATTGAATATTGCTTTTCCCATGAGTTCTTCCTTTCCTAAGACGGAAAACTTCTCAGTAGTTTTGTTGCTTTGCAGTCTTTTACTTTTATCCTATAAAATACAAGATTTTTTCATTTGTACCTCCTCCTAATTTTCGCTTAACATATTTATGAAAGGCTGTGGTAAACGAAGACACACAAGGAAATGTGAGCCAACTGCAAGCTGAGGTCAAGAAGTTGAAAGAGCAGCTTGCTCAACTTACTTCAGTGCCATCTATGCATGATATTTCTGTATCACAAGGTAGGAGTTGGGGGTGAGGGAGAGAGAACTTGCTACTTTTTTTAGCCTGGAGTGTTGGAGCCTTATGTAATTCATTAAGTTTCTGAACAATTAATATTTTGTAGGGACTGGCCTATAGAGGTTGCATTTGTCTTAGGGATCCCATTGTCTGTATTTGTATCTAACATTTTGAAGAACTTGTTAACATGATTTTTTTTATTTTCTTCCTCTCATAAGTTTGTGTACAGGGCTATGTTTCATTCTATAATACCTAGAATATTCTTCCAGTTCGTAAGAGGTATGCTGCCTATTCCCTTAAGTAACCAAAAATTTACATGTGATTGCTTATACATTTAGGTTGGAGGGAGGGCACTACGGTGTTGATAATGCCCATTGAATCCACATTCTTTCTAAGCTCAGGACTGGATTTTTTTTTTCCCCCCTCTTCCCCTTTTGCCCCTTCAGGAAGATCCTAAGAAGGATATTTACCTTTTGATAACAGATCGGTTTCAATATAAGATGGTAATGGGGTTTTTATCAATATGTAAATTTTTTTTTCTTCCAGTAGCTTTTCACTAGACCACTGTATCTGCAATATAGATCCCAGCATAGCTTTCTACTACGTATACTTCTCACTGAAATATGCTACCTTATAATGTTTGATTACAAGGTAGTAAACTTGGTCTTGCAACACTTACTGTAATCCTGAGTCAACTCTTTCCTGACCTTGCCAAGAAATAGAAGATACAATAGAAGTTACTACAGAACTTAGAAAGACTTATCTAATATAAAGCATCTGTGGTTGAGTTTTCATAAGGAAAAATTACTTCTCTGTGAGCATACACATTTAAGCAGTAAAAACAAGTCAGTGATTATGTTGTTAGACTTGTGATAGAGTTCTGAGGTAAAGCAAGTGATGATACTTAAACACTGAAGAGAGGTTTTATGCAGAACCTAATGTACTAGAGCTGTGTTTAGTCTATGCAGTTAAATCATGTTTGTAATATTTGATCACATAAATATGAAATCTGCTTACTAGCTACTTGAAAAACATGATGGCATTTTTAATATATTAAATTACAATGAGGTAGTTATTATGCACCTAGATCCTATGGTGATTAGTATTCTATAAATAAGTAGTCTTGCCTGCATGAGGATATTCAGGAAAGCTATTTTGAATTAATTTGTGAAATGGTTTAGTTAAGCCCTTTTAATGCCTTCTGTGGACACTTTCCTTCCAGATTAAATCACTAATTGTCCACTTAATTCATGCTTATTTTCCTGAATTCCCTTCTTATAAACCAGTTAGTCCACTTTTCATATGTACAAACTGTAATAATAATGCCAATAATGGCTTAGTGTTATCAAATTAATTTCAGAGGGGTTTTGCATTTTATAGCTATACTCAGCTGAACAAACTAATTCTTTTATTCTAATAAAAGTTTATCGTAAAGCCGTTTAATGCTTGAACAACTTTGTTAATTATACAATCATGTATATTGACTCTGTTCTTTATCAGCACTTGCAGGTGACTGAGAATTACAGTCTAAATGTCTTTGCTTTGGGTACAGCACATGATCTTAGAGGAATTATAATGTTCGAAGAATTTATTTAATTTTTTTTTATACAACTGTCACGTTATGTATGTAGGAAAACCTGGTTAACTGGTATTTTAATAAATATGGCATTTGTTTCTTTAACTTAACCTACAGGTGCTGTTGAAAAAGGGAAGAACAACATAAATTACATGAACAACTTTCTTGAAGCAATGTTGTTCTGGGAGAAATCAGAAGGAGAAAAGAAGGTAAGAAAGCACTAATATTTCTAAGTGCATTCTGTATACTCTGAAAGACCAGTAAGCTTATTGAAACTGACTCTCTTAATGATTTTTCTTTGTTTTTGAATAAAAAGACTGCACCCAAAGATGATAAGGTTTGGTAATAAGGGAACTAGTCAAATGACATTTAAGATACAATCTTTCAAATTCAGACAAGCCGTAGGATAGCTTTCATAGTATGTTTAGTTTTAGGTGTGGGTTGTTTATTTGGATTTTCTGATAAATTTGAACAGAACAACAAACTTCTGTTTTACTTAATTTTGAGCGCATCTTTGAGTGTTTGGATCAACATCGTGGTTTTTGAAGCAAACCTCCCAGTCATCCCCATTTTATTGTGCTTTGGTTCATGTCATGGCACAGTGCTGAATCATCCAAAATGGATTTTTTTGGAAGGAAATTAACTGAAACAGGCAGTCTAGGGGTGCATCTGATGTGCTTAACTGAATACTTAGTCTACAGGATCATATTGGAGCTTCTAAGTAAAGTTTTTGCAATACAGTGTGTAATTGGCTTCTTGGTATGAGCTGTTGCTCTCTACAGATCTGCTCCAAATGAATGACAGTCTGTGTATTCACAAAATTATTAACTGAGTTTTGCATGATTTGTGTATGTGATATGTGCACCTTAAAAATTCATCTAGTGTAACTGTCACTTTTCCACCAATCTGTATATGTACTTTCTAAGAATTTATTAGAAAAAATTGCTCAACTAGAAGATCTGTGTGCCAAGAAGGAGAAATTTATTCAGTCCAATAAAATGATAGTTAAATTCCGTGAAGACCATATTGTTCGCTTGGAGAGATTACATAAAGAGGCTGGTGGAAGTTTATTGCCAAAAGAGCAAGATGATCTCTTCAGTGAATTGAGGGACGAATTGCAGACACTTAGAGAACAGGTAAGTCTCTGTTTTTTCCTTTCTAGAACAATTTTCTTTTGCGAGAATAGCTCATGTGATGGAGTTCTGTAATGGGTAGATACAGGCTTTTTAGGAAAGGTAGGCAGGGAAAAAGAGGATGGGTGGTGGGTTCCTTTACAGAAGCATCTCAAATGCATGGAGTTTCCCTATGGAAGGGGCAACGGGTGGGTTTAGAGCTTGTGAGTTTGCATAAGAGGAGAGGCTAGTAAGGGTGATGTCATGGTGGGAGCTTGCTATAGGCCACCTGATCTGGGTTAGGTAGAGGACTAAGTCTCCTTTAAGCAACTCAAGAAAGTCTTCAAATCACAAATCCTCATTCTTATGGGAGACTTTAATCTCCATAACATCTGTTGAAAGGGAAAGACAGCAGGATGCAAGTAATACAGCAGGTTTCTGAAGGATAGTAACACAGATGCTAGATGGGCCAATCAGGGGTGATGCTGTCCTGGAGCTGTTTGAGGAAGGCAAGTAGCAAAGTACATACTTAAGGCTTCAGGAGAGGAGGCTTCGGGTTATTCAGGTATTTGGTAGGTGTGGTATCACTTGTGAGACAGTTTTGAAGAACAAAGAAGCTCAAGAGAGAAGGCAGATCTTTAAAAACAATTTCCTCCAAGCACAAGTAGGAAAAAGGAGTAGATGTATTAGAAGACCAGCTTGAATCTGTAGCTCATAACTGAGCTCCAAAGTGAAGGGGGAAGAAAAAGTACAGAAGTCAGGACAGTCATTAAAGGACTATAAAAACATTACTATGGCATGCAGGGACAGTGTTAAGAAAGCCAAAGCTCAAAGTTGAAACTGAAAAGGGATGTCAAGAGCAGGAAGAAAAGCTTCTACTGCTTTATTACCAGTAAAAGAATAAATACATAAAACATAAACCCACTGTCTTTTTTGAGAGCAGATTCCAAGGGAGTAAGAAAACCAACAAAAAAAAATTGGGGCAGTTTTAACCACTGTAGGGGAATACCTTTTTTCCCTCTTCCATTACAATTTAACGCTTATTAAAGGTAGTAGAGCAACAGCTAGATATGCATAGCATTGTCTGGAAAATAAAACCTGTTGAATAAAATACTGCTTATCACAGATGGAACAGCACCCACGAATTGCAAAGTATGCCATGGAGAACCATAACCTCAGAGAGGAGAATAAAAGACTTCGTTCTTTACAGTCAGTTAAAAAGGCCCAAGAAATTGATGCTCAGACCATCGCAGAACTAGAGAAAGCGTTTTTGGAAGCTTCAGCCACAGAGAAAAATACTGGAGGTAAAAATATGCTCATGTTTTTCAGCTAAATAAGCTTACTGTATTTCTGTTGTGTGCAACATAGTGTTGACAATGTTGTCTTGTCTGGTGGATGTATTTTTTGCCGCCTTCTTCAAAGTGATACCTGAAGACTGATAAAACAGGTTTACTTTGTTTTATTCACGTTGGCCTTCAAGCAAATACAGCAGTAGGGAATTTGGATTCTTGTGCATCTTATGAACACCATCCATAATCTCATTTTGTTGTCCTTAGTTGTCATGAAGACTGCAGTAATATTAATTATTCTACTGGTTTTCAAGTGGACTGCTAATACCCGTTTTCTTCAATCTCAATTGCTGCTATGCTGTTCAAAAGCCTACAAATGCTTTCATTTTAGTAAAACTTAAGGTATTTGAGCTACTCTGTGATTTCAGAGGGTATATGTTTGTTCTTTAGGTCATCATTTATATTCCACCACCATATCAGTGGAAGGCAACTCACTGGCATCTGTTGAAAGGCTGAAAGCACGCCTGCTACAGACTCAGAGTGAACTGGCAAGTTCAAAACAAGAATATGAAGAATTTCAAGAGCTAACCAAGTGAGACAAAACAGTATAGAAATGTCTTTAATTAAATGTCTTAAAAAATCGGTATAAGTAATTATTTAAAAAGTTAGTCTCAGATCCTGAACATACAGTCTAAGTAGGTTCTTCGCATGTAAGAGAGGGCCAGGTTAAGCAAAATGGCATGCACACAGAATATGTTCCTGTTGAACTCAGTTACTCCCAGACTAGGAAACAACCATGATGCAATCTGAAGGCATGTCTGCATTGTTGCAGATTTCTTTGTCTTTCCAAAAGCTCTTCTTTATGCTAAGATGCAAAACAACGCTTCACAACATGCAGGAGATGCACATACCCTAGAATTCTGATAGTCACCTGCTTAACAGGACAGGGAGAGTTTAGCTTAGTTTCCATGTTGAGCAAGTATTTTTCAGTAACTGAAATATTACAGATGGAAGCAGAGACAGGAACTAAGAGTTGATGGGTTTTGGGGCGGGGGGCGTGTTTTGGGGCTTTTCTTTGTTTTAGTGCAACAGTAGTTTTTAATATAACCTCTTTAAGATTGCAAGTTTGAGTCACCATAAATGTAGAATCCGAGCACTCCAGAAAAATTTGGCTAATCTGTTGATTAATTTTTTTGTCTCCACCTCAAAGATTTTTAAGAGGGCAATAGTACCACTACCTTGAGACCTGTTACTGGAACTGAGATTTAATTCAAATTAGAGCAAAGACATGGTGTCAATAGTTCATTCATGTCCATTTGCTTTGGCATCCAAACGTGATAAGGGTCTACTTTGTCCTTACTAATGTGGTAAAGAATTTACTGTCATTGTTCTCCTTGAGGGCAGCACAAGTTAATGCGAAAGACCTGAGTAATACCTTCAGTGTGTGTGTATATATATATTCATATGCAAGTGAATAATACATGGCTTAACTTGATCAACCCCATTTCTGAAAAATTCAGGTGCTGTACTGGAGATACAAGAAAAATAATTGCATTTCCAGTAAACGTAATGTAAACCTGGTAGGCAAAAGGGACCTGATTTTTTTATTATTATTATATTTATTTTTAGCTTGTACCTAACATTGTTGCTTTTTATTGATTTCAGTGAATCTAGAGCATAATTCCAGAAGCATTGGGCACAAGATATTTCCATTTTTGCCTCCCCACAGTTTTTTGCAAAGTAGCATTGTAATGTCCTTTTTGCTCATTCAGGCAATTGTACAAATCTGTATTTTTATTCTTAGATTTCTGTGTAGCAAATCCTATGAACTTTATAAATCATAGTGTTACGATCTACTGAGTTTATCAGTTCAGCAATCCATCTATTGTCCTGTATCATTAGATACAATGGTTTGTTTATATCTTCATATACTAATTACTTTATTTTCCTGCCCATTTGATGTATTCCTATTTTATGTATTCCATGTTTTGTACATGTCTTGCTTCCTTGATAGTATGCATGCATTTTTATTATCAATTACTAACATTTTCTTAGTGGAGTGCAGTCAAACAGAAGTGTGCTTTTGGGCCTCTGGATTCACCTCTGGATTTCACTACATTTTAAACTTGTTTCCAGTTTCAGAGTAACTGGATGCTTAATTTTACATGCAAGTGTAACTATATGCTGTAACTGAATAAGTAGAGTAAAATTTAAAAATTTCACAAAACCAATGTATGCTAATTTTTCTGTTGTCCCATAGCAGTCAGAACTGAAGTTCTATTCTGTTCCGTAAGTTTTGTTGCAGATGCTAAAAACATGAGGGGAAAGTGATAGCATTAAACTGCCAAAAGATGAAATAGTATATTTCGTTTTGTCTGTAGACTTTGACCCTACAATTATATCAGTAAGGCCAACTATCACAGTAACAGCATGTAGCTCTGCAAAATACCTAAAGAAAATTATTTCTAAATTTCTGCTCAACTGTTGGATTTCAGTTAAAGTACTCTTAGAGGGCAAAATAATCTTAACAGAGCAGCACTTAAAAAAAAAAAATCTTTAAAGGATTTTCTTTAATCCTGGCAAGCACCAATTCAGACTTTTCATATAACTGGATAACATTTTTAAAGCTTAAAACCATATTGGTATGGGTGATATCACTTTCTCATAAAAGGAATTGCAGAGCTCTCAGCTTATTTCTTACCGTGTAATGGATTTTTTCTGACACGTTTAGTTATCCATCTGCTTGCTTCATTATGCAAGCACAAATAAGCTTCTTAGCTTTTTAACTTTTTTTTTTTTTTACTTTTTAATACAGCAGTGGTGGCTTTCTTCTCAAAATAATGTATTTCAATGTTTGTGCAAGAGTTCAGGTTCAATTTGCTCATTGGCAATTCTGTAGCTTATTCTTACTGATGGGAGGGCATACTGATGGAGTGGTTTTGACATTAGTAAAATACTTCCTAAACAGGAAAAGGCATATGGAACTGGAATCAGAGCTTCAGTCCCTTCAGAAAGCAAACCAACATCTTGAAAACATTCTGGAGGCAACCAAAGCACACAAGCGCCAAGAAGTCTCTCAGTTACATAAGCTACATAGAGAAACTCTTAAGGTATGAGAATAAGTATATTTAAAACCACTCATACTTATTCCTGAGTTGTGTGAGAACATAGACTTTCATTTGTGTGATCCCTTAACCTAACTAGTGTTCTGGCATGTAATCCATATGTGATAAAGCAGATATGCTGCTTTTTTGTTCTTAAATACTTACTGAATGACTGCTACTGTAATCAGATGACAAATTGAAAAAGTGTAGTGGTTTAGAGCTAACCACTTTGAGCATTTTATTTCATTATTCTGCTTATAGAACTCTGAAATACAATACCAGACAAAGTCTTAATTCCATTTTACAGTTAAAATAAAGACTGCTTTGTAATCTTTATAACAGAATATAACCACTCCAACAAGAGCTTACCAGCTAAGATCTCGCCTAGTGCCGCGAATAAGCCCAGAAATCTTAGATTATCATTCTGAAGATTTTCAGTGTTCAGAAGAGATGAAGGATGACATTTTGAAAGAGCCAGTTCCCCCAGAAGTGAATGAACAAGCATATGAGGCCATGGCTGAAGAGCTCAAAGTGGCACAGGTGAATGTTCTGAATAAAAACTGAAGTGTAACTTTATTATAAAGCGGGTTTTGGCATGAAATACTTCCCCCCTAACAAATACATTTTAATTTGCATGAGAAACTGAAGCTCTTAATGAATACTTAAGGCTTCACTAAACAGTTAATTATACAATGTACTTAAGAGAATTTACAATGAAAATATTGAAAGGGATTTGAGAGTTGAATATCGTAAGTAGTTTAAGATATACAGGGCATTTAAACTTTTTACTATTTTAACCTGATAACTTGTTTCTGAGGAAACTTCTTTTTAAATCTCTGGTGACAGCTACATTCGGAACAATACCCAAGCTTAATATATAATACTGCATTATTTGAAGAAACCTGCTACATACTACTTGTCCACCATTATACCTTAATTGTCTTGTATCTTTCCTAAAGGGCAGGGAAGGTCTTTTTTCACATACAAGAGTGCTACAAAATTATCTGAACTACGCTCTAGAAGCTGGAACTAACTTCAGTGCATGTAAAACCCTGGCACAACAGCCAAAACCCCTCTTTGATGCTTAACCATACTGCAGAGATCCTGCAAGGAATTTAGCTAGTGTATATTTTGAATAACTTCTTTTTAAAGCCTTATTTCTCTAAGATAAACATGTGTCTGAAAACTTAAGTGTTTATTGGATTCAGTCCTTGTATTCCCTGACGGATTTTCTTGTGTTCTGGCAGTTTAGTTAGCAATAGGAGAAATCAGCTACTTAAGATACCAGCTTATTTTTGGATGTTCTGTTTTCTGTTGGTTCAGGTCATAAAAAAAGAAAGTAGTTGACATTTTTATATTTAATATGCATAGACTGCCATATGGCATGTGAGAATAACTGGAAGATGGGTGTTCTAATTTTGAGTGTCTGTTGTGTCACAGGAGCAACTGAATACAATGCAGACAAAGCTGGATGAAGAGGAAAGCAAGACTATAAAACTCCAGCAGCATATTAATAAGCTGGAGCATCATTCTGCACAAATACAGGAGGTGAGAGAACAATATAATACAGGGCTATATGTGAGTGTGTATATATGACAAGGTGATATCTACCACACTCATACTACTGTGTTGTCTAGTGAGATCTGCGATGTAACTTGCATTTTGACTTTTGAAAAATTTACATAGCATCACAGCTCAGGGCTGTGCAGGAAGACAAGGACTTCATTTAACATAACACTGCAGGTTGGGGGGGGTTTTTTGTTTTTGTTGTTTTAAATGTGATTCTGAGCCTGCTTGATCTTAAATATCAGCAAATAGACACTCAAGATGTCTGTGCTTGGTTTTGACCAACTTCATGATTTCTGGAAAACAGCAGTAGTCACAAGGAAATTTTAAACTTTGGAATGCTGAAAATACTACTTGCCTCAGTTGGAACTGAACTGAAACGTCCTTACTCTGTAAAATATTTACAAGTCTTCCTTAACCGCTAGGTTTGATTTAACACAGAAAAGGAAATAAGGCCTGTTTTCTTCCCAGATCAGTCTCAATTCTGACAGCTCTGTTCTGAAGTAGATCTCAGCCTCTAAGCTGTGGGTTGCTTTTAAATGAACTTTTTAGATAGGTAACGTCTTCAGTTACATTGAAGTATTTTCTTCTTGGACTTCTATGGATTTCAGATTCACCCAACGTCAAATTTCAAGAAAAATGGATCTTGTATTCATAATCAGCTGATGAAATGCTCTAATACATTATTATTGTTACAGCTCTGTGGCTTAGCCACTCCTACATTTCCTTCCATCTAAAAATTTTACTTCTCTTCTCAAGCTTCTTTCATCCGAAAGGAATGACTGGAGTAAAGAGCGCCAGGAGCTCCTTGAACAGATAAAATCGCTTGAAAAGCAATTTCAAGACAGTCAAAGCAAGACTGATAGTAAGTCTATGCAACACTGAAATGCCATAAGAAGTTTTGGGGTCTCTTAATGTTTTGAATCAACAATAGCACATGCTGAGTAACTCTTTGGGTTTAAGATGTTAGTCATACTGGTTTGATTTTTTTAAACTTTTTTTAAAGAAAAAAATCTCTAATACTTGCAGAATAGCTTGTACAGTATACAATATTGAAAATCGTTCTCTGTTCACTCTGAATGTGAGGGGAGTACAGGATACAGTATTTTATAAAGAAAATATTAACTAAAAATAAAGGAAAAACCCTCTTTTGGTCTATGGAAGTGCAGCGATATTGTCTGGAATGTTTTTGATTCTGCCTGCACTCTTTAGTTCTTGAAGTCAATGTTTCATTGACCTTTCCATTTACAAATCATTTTTGTGTCTGACCTTCAAGGTTAATTCCACTGAAAATGTGTAAAGTTTTGTGAGACTTTCCCAGGATGCTGTAGTGTTACATGTCCTGTATCTAGCACAGTTTTCCAAATAACATGTAAAATATTTGTTTGATTTTTGACAGTATTAAAAAGTGAAGTCTATGACTTGCGCATTGTCCTGCAGTCTGCAGACAAGGAGCTGTCTGCTGTAAAATTGGAATATAGTGCCTTTAGGGAAAAGCAAGAGAAAGAAATAAGTCAGCTTTCTGGTAGACATATGGATGTACAGTTCCAGCTGGACAGTGTCAGGTATGTTGGCGGTTTGGTAAAATGCCTCAACCTCCCTTCTGGATGTATCCAGTGATTTAGTTCTTATGTGAACTTGCACTTTACATGTCTTATTTAAAGTTGTTGTTTTGTGTTTATGTGGTGAAATGGTGAAATTAGCAGAAAGAAAATAAAATGAGGCTTCCTTAATTTTTTGGTTTGCTGTAGCATTTTCCCATTAAGTAGGATATAAGTATAAGCTTATTGATCTCCAAAAGTTAAGTAGCCGAAGAGGCATAGTTTGTTTGGTTGGTGGTTTTTTTCCAATTTAGTCTTAAAAATTAACTGTTACTTCTTAGTCTGGTCACATGAAGCAGCATAATGATGCTGCTCTAAAAATACAAGCAGAAAGAAACCATAAAAATAAACTGAAGCTTGACTATTGAAGCCTGAAAAGCTCACTATGTTGTATGCAATAATTGACATTATTATTGGGAGATGAAAATGACTGAGATTTTTAATCATTAGTGTGACTTACCTATGTTGGGTTTTGGTGGAGGTAGTTTTTGTTTGTTTTGTTGGGTTTTTGTTTTGTGGGTTGTTTTTTTTTTTTTTTACTGGGAAGCTTAAATATGTTATTGCATTATAGCAGGTCATGTCTTAGCTGAAGTGATTTTGAGTGATGCGTTTTGAGACTGGGAACCTGGAATTGAAATTAAATATTGTGGTTTCATTGATGCCTTCTGTGTTAGCAGAAGTACTGACTTTTTGGAGGGTATTCTTTCTATAGACTCTCCATTAATAGCAGGATTCATAACACTTGTCTAGCAGCTCTTTTACCCCTCTTTGCTTTGATCTTTTGGGAAAGATCAAATGAAATCAGTTTTTGTGGCAAGAATTTAGAGGGAAATAACCCAGACTTGCCCAGAATATATAAAGATTTTATATGGGATAAATAACCCAGATATCAACTAAGCAGTTGTAGGTACTCTGAATAATTCTAGCAGAGTCTTTTATCCAAACACTGGCTAAAAAAAAAAATTTTAAAAAATGGGTGAACACCATTATCAAGACACAGTGACTGAAATTTCTATAGAATTTTGTAAGAAGTAAATTATTTCTAGGGATCGGAAAGAGTACTCTGCCTTCTCTGCCAATGCCATTTAAATTTCCTGTGCCCTTCATATATTTGGGGTTTCTGAGTTTAAAAAAAAGTTACCATTCATGTCAGTCACTTCCTTCTGAAATAACTGTACTCGGTATATTATCTGAAGATTATAAAATACAATTGATTGGAATATTTTTATAATGAAACAAACCCTTATCTTAATATTGTGGGTGGGGTTGTTTTGTGTTTTTTTAATGAAGGCTAGAACATGAAAAGATTCTTGAAGAAAAAGCAAGCCTACAGGATGACTATGATAATTTGCAGGAAGTAGCGAAGTTTGAGACAGATCAACTGAAGCAACAACTTGAGGACAGAAAACAAGAAGCAGAAGCAATGAAAACTGAGCTTTGTGTAAGACAGTCAAGGCTTTTAAAGGACTTTATACAGTTACTCATCTAGCCAGATTGTTTAATTCCTGTTACTGTATCATCGATAATAAATTCCGCGGTAATAATAGGTAATAAAATGGTGATCTCATTTGGAAGACGTACCCAGAATCTCTTTTAAAACTTAGTGCAAGATTTTTGCAGTCGCAGGCTACAAGAAATACCTAATAGCATGATGTAGTAGGTTTTTCGGCTGAAGAAATTGCTCTGGAAATGTTGAGGCAGATGGGTTAATTAGTAAAGGAATAAGAAACTGCTTTGGAAAAGAATCCTGACATCAAAATGCTGATGACCTTTCATCTCAGTGCTTACTTGTTCTATCTTTACAAAGCAGTTTCTTAAAAAGTTTTCATAGTGGATGTGAGCTTGTTAAAATGATCTATGCCTTCTTGTGGTGGATCACTGTCCTGCAGTTTAGTTGATGCTGTCCTTGAAAGTCTGTCAAACTGCAATGACTGCAAAACAGCGGTAAGGTTGCTCAAGGGCTTTTGCAAATGATTTTGCCTGCTTTTCTGCAGTGTACACTGTGCCTGCTCAGCAAGTTTGCTGTAAGTTTTCCTTTTTAGTGTTTAAAGGAATACTGACAGATTGAAAATTATTATTTTAAATTCCTTATAGTCTAATACATTGAACTGCTGGTTAGAATTTGAAAAATCCCCCCAAATTATTCTACAGTTGAAAATTGTAATTTCTCCCTTTAAAGCCTTGGATATTGTGGAACATTATAGCTATATGAAATCGTTATCAATGGCAGGTGAAAAGAGCTGATTGGTTAATATAAATAAGAATTAACTTTTGAACTTGCCCAGGACAAGTTCAAAAGATCTTTCTGTTTCCATCTAAGGTTTTGTGGGTGTTTTTTAAGT